ACCTTTGTTGGAAACAATTTTCTCTATCCAAATCACTATTTGGATTCTTCATAGGAGTTACCATTAGGGAAAAAAATCGAAATTACACCTGTATGAATAATTTTTGGAGCCACTGTATATAATGATTATCAGATAGAACTTCAACAGTGTGCACAGCCTTATCGTTTATCATACCCACTGTTAAACTTTATTACTAGAATTCTTATAAATTATTGACAGATTCGTTCTTTATGAAATACTGTTCGTCTGATTATCTTAATTTAATAGTAATTTACTAAATTTATAAAGTAAACCGTAAGAAATGTTGATTAAAAATTATTCCAATAGTAAATCGATCTAATTTAAAACTTAGTGAATTTTTACTGTGACGAGAATAATATAAAGTATTCGGATTCAAATTAACTCTAACCACTTGTTTTTTAGTGGTCGACAGATAAATGAATGTTTTACGCTAAGTCTTTCACGATATAAGTTCGTATTACAATTATAAAAAGGACAATTGCTTCAAGTACCATTCAATGCGATCGTCAAGTAATCACGCCGTTATTGTCTTATTTTTTAGGCACGGTGAACATCTCTATTTCTAATTAAAACTTTCAAGATGTGTAATTCTTTATATTTTTCTCTATATATTGATAAACTTATATTCATTAAGTCATGTTGTCACACTCGTTATCATTTGATACAAATAACATAATGAATATGATTCATCATCCTATCCATGTATCATGATATAAGAGATGTTCATCATGGTGATGCGACAGCATCATCGGTGGCAGTTTCTTTTTTTTTAAAGAAATGGAAAAACTAAATCGACTTGCGTGTCATTTCAGTGTCTAAAAGTCCAATAGTCAGAATCGTTGTCAGTCTAATAGACTCGATCTAACTATGTTAATTTAGCACAGTGTTGAAAGAGACTTTCGAAGAATTTCTCGAAAATCATTGCAGCAGTAACAACTTTTTTGTATAGTTCATCACATCACAGTAGCCTTAAGTCTTGTAGAACTATGACGAGTTAACGGCATATGTTCTAGACATGATGAACATCTCTATATGATATATTATATTCCAAATAAAAATTAATTATAATTACCTATCACTAGAAAAAGGTAAATCTACATCAGTACTTCTATTTTTTGGTTTTCCTGTTAATGAAGTTTGTCGTTTCAGTGAAGCTTGATTAGCATCACGTTGTTGTCGTTCTTCACGTGTTAAAAGTTTATAATCTGTGTCCAAATTAAATATCGGTCGAGCCCAATCATCTTAAAAAATAAAAATTTTATATAATATAGAAGAAATTTTGAAAAAAAAAAAACAAAACAACAACGATGTTAAACATACGAATAATTTTGATTAATTTAATTTTGTTTTCTTTTGTTTCACGTGGATGTTTGTATAAATACATAAGAGCTTTTCCAATACCACTATCCCGTAAAGCATCAGCATTAACACCTGCAAACTTTTCGAAAAGGAAAAAAGAAGAATATAAAATCTACATCATGAAAATTATTTGAACATACTTGTTGTCGAAGACTTTTAATAAGTGATTCTCGAATTTTAATATTAGGTAAACTTTTATCCGGTAGAGGACTAAGCCAATCCTATAAATAATATTAAAAATAAAATTTAAGAAAAAATTTTTCTTTTTATTCATTATATATTAACTTTAAAAACAGTTAATATTCCATGATCAAGAAATATTTCAGTTAAATCAACTCGATATAAATGTTGTTCAACAGTCGGTAATAAAAGAAGTTTAGCTGTAGCTGGTTGTCGACTTTTATTAAATATTCGATCTTCTTCAGTAGCTATTTTCATTTGATCAATTAATTTTGATACAAGTTGATCAGTATTGTTGCCAGCTAAATCAATATCACCATTTTTTCCACCACGACGTCGATTTCCACGACGTTTTTCAGCTTTTTTTTCCAAATATAAATCGATATCATAACCAATATTACTAAAAATGAAACAATAAAAGAAGTATTTTCATATTGAAATATTATGACATATTCTTTTATATACTTTTTTGACATAGACTGATTTGCTTTACGTGTTGATGTTTGTTCTTCGTCATCTTCTTCAGTATCAAAAGTTTGTTGTTGTCGTTGTTGTTCGCCATCATCATCATCTTCTTCTTCTTCTACTTCTTCTTGTACTACTTCAGTATCATTAAGATCTGCTAATTCAGCAGCAACTTCTTCTTGATCATCACCTCCATCCTAATAATTATTGAATTGGATATATCAAAAGAAAATAATTTTTCTTACTTCATTATCATTTACATCTTTTCCAAATATATCATCAACAACATCTTCAACATCAGATCTAAAGAATAAATAGATTCAATGTTAAACTAAATCAAATTCTAGTTCATTAAATTGAAATAGTCTCATACTTACTAAAGAAACTATGTAAAATATATTTATCAGTTTTTTACCTAATCTGTTCGGTGTTCAGATAGGGATAATTTTAAAAGAACACAGTATGCATTAGAACCCGTTAGGTTGATCTCGGATCCGGAAATTTTGAACTAGATGAACTCTAGTCGTCTGAAACATGTGTAAGATATGCTAATCAACGAATACAAAAAAAGAACGCCAAAAAGAAGTATCTCGTATCATCAAAGTAAGATTCAATCGGGTCCGAAAATTTTAGATCCAATGGGCACTAACGAGAGAACATATCCAACTGATTCCGAGCTTTCGGCTTCATCTTTTGTCTACAGGTAGGCCTCAGTGAGACTAAGAAAACCCTAGAAGCGTTCGTTCCCATGGCGCATTAGTGAAGAGTTATGGCCGTTTTACTGGATTTTTTACTCGGGACAGGGTATTTCCAAAAACCTTAAAACAAATAATTTTG